AAAAGAATTAACTCTCAGTTCTCATAGTGGCCCCGGCTGCCTCTCCAATCGCATTCCGTACCACTCTCCAGCAACATTGACCTCCTTGTTAGGCCCCAACATGCCAGGCATAGACTCTCCTCATAGCCTTTGAACTTGCCTGGTATGTTCTTTCCCCAGATATTCATATGGGGGAGGAAAATGAGGGTGAAAACCAGTAGCTATCTAAATAGCATTCACTTCACTCTTACTTTATCTTTCTCAAAGCCTTTATCACTATGTGAAATTATATATTAGACTTATTTGTATGCTAGTATGACTCTTCCCGGCAACAATGTTAGTTTGCTGTCTGTTCAGTACTGTGCACCCAGAACCTGGAAGAGTGCCTGGCACATAGCAGGTAGTCAATAAATGAATGGGGGCAGGCAGCCAAATCAGAACCAGGTTTTCTTGCTAAGCACGGAACTAACACAAAGATCATTGCATGGATTGGATAATGACTGGCATCAGGGTAAGGTCCCCTTAACAAACATTCCTGTACTGAACACCTGGTTGGCTAACACTTTTTCCATACTCTTATTTTCCCAAAAACACAGTTGCTGGATCTCAGCTCCAAATCAACTCTTCTAGGAAAGTGAAAAACTGCTGGATCTCAGCTCCCAAATCACATCTTCCAGGAAGACTTAAGTGCAGCTTTCTCTGTGCTCCTTATTCACACCTCCACCAAACCATCTGATCCAACAATGACAGGTGTCACGAGGCCTTGGCATGCACTCTCTTCCCCCGCCAGAGTTCTGCGAAGGCCAGGGTTGGGATTTGTTGTGTTTATTCCCCGCCCCTATGAGCGTAAGCACCCGGCAGGCTCAGATGAAATAATGCAACGAGTAGGCCTATGAAACCAAGGCTCCTCAGCTGGAGCAACGTCAGGCTCTAGGGCGGGCAACTTTGCTGCTTCTGCTGAAGATGGTGATATTGAGAAAATGTGGGTGCAATGAAACCCTTTTGCAGCGCACTCGGTGCATCTGCGGACAGAGGGTCAATCGCCCCTCAGGGTCGCACAAACAGGCGTCCCAAGCCTAGGCCTTCACTTGCCCCAGCATCCGCAAGGGCCCATTAATCCTTAACATTCAAATTCCGCCCACTAAACCAGCCCCTCCGCGCCCAAGCCGCCTCTTTTCCCCAAACGACGGCCGAAAGCAGCCAATGAACAGCTAGAGGGGTCTGCCCACTTTTCCCTGGCCGAAATGGACAGAAAATCTCACCAATTGACGACATCACCGCTGAGACTCCCCGCCCCAACCCGGCCGCCCCAGCCAATGACGGGTGGGCTCGCAGCTGCGCCGGGGGCGGGGCGCGGGCGCGCAGGTGCAGCAGCGCGCGGGCCGGTCGGGAGGGCGGGGCGCGACGTCGGCCGTGCGGGGTCCCGGCGTCGGCGGCGCGCGCGCTCCCTCCTCTCGGAGAGAGGGCTGTGGTAAAAGCCGTCCGGAAAATGGCCGCCGCCGCCGCCGCGCCGAGCGGAGGAGGAGGAGGAGGCGAGGAGGAGAGACTGTGAGTGGGACCGCCGTGGCCGCGGGCGGGGACCCTTGCTGGGGGGCGGGGGACAGGGGCGGGACGTGGCGCGGGAGGGGCCCGCGGGGTCGGACGACACGGCTGGCGGATGGCGTCCCTCCTCTCTACCCTCCCCCTCCCTCCGCCGGTGGCGACTCTCCCCCTCGACCTGTCACCCGGGCTCGCGGGTGACCGTCCTCGGCGCGGCCTCCCCGGAGCCTCCTTCGCCCGCCGCACCTATTCCTCCCGCCCTCGGCGCGCATCCCGGCCCCCGGCCCCGCGGGCGCCCCCGTCGCCGGGGCTTCGCCTGTCGGGGCTGCGCGCGCTCCTGCCCTTCTCGGGGCTTTGGGCCGCGGCGTCGTCGCGCGCCCGCGGCCCCGGTCTCTCCCTGGATCGCGCTCTCCCCTCTCCCTCCCTCGCGCGCCCCCTCTCCCGTTACTCGGCCCCCCCACCGGCGCGCGTGCGCACTTCGCCTCCCGTCGGGAGAGTGCGCCACAAGGGCTCCTGCGCTCTCACCCCCATCTCCGGGCTTTGCCTCCCCCTCCTTCTCGCCCATTCCATGAATTTCTGCCCCCACTGGGAGCGAGTCGGTCCACCGGCTCCTTTCCCCATCTAGCAGGAACAAGTAGGTGGGAATTATTGTCCGCAGAGGGGACTAGACATTGTGTTCTGGGTCCCACAACTCATCATAAAGAGGTGGTTATAGTTCCCATCAGGAGCCGTGGGTAGGGTACTGTGTGTCCAGCAGCACCCGAGGCTCTTCGGCGCCTGAGGCTCTTCGGTGTGAGCGTGTCCCCAGGGTGCTCAGAGGTTCTTTGGGGGTGCTGTGGCCTCGGAATGTGAGCACCCTCCCATCCTACCCCGCCTTCGCCGGCGATCTTCCAGTTACATAAGTGGAGTGGGACATAGTAGGTAACGGGCTCTCTTCGCCCTGGAGCGCTCGGATCACTGGTACGAGATGGGGCAAGTTCATCGCGACGCTGTGGCTGCTGTTCATTGTGCCCGAAAGGTTATTCTCTGTTCAGTTTGGTTATGACCGAATCACCCAAACTGAAACTCAGATGACTTTTATGTGGCAGTGGCAATGTTTCCGTGGTTTTGTACTAAAGACTTAGGGTCATTATGAAGAGTTTAAAAGGATTGCTCTCGCAGGGGAGACTGTTTATGACAAGTGTGGACCCCGAGGGGGAAAAAGCTCATTCTGGAATCGCTCTGTGGGGGTTGCTTCTGTTGTGAGTGTGTTCCGGTGTGGGTCGGTCACAGCAGAAATGGGCTCCACCACAAAATTGATATTCCTGACTCATGGTCAGGCAGATGTGTGCCTCTGGTTATTTTTCCAGGAACAGGAATGGGCTCTGCCGAGCCTTTCACAGGTTGTCTGTGTGCTGTGTGGGATCAGTACCCCAACTGTTGAGATAACAGGATCGAATTCAGGGGTTGGTTGGTAATCCAGGAACCAAACCTACTTGGATGTGGTATTGAGTGGCTTGAACATTGTAGGACTCTTCTACATTTTAGGCATTTTGTTATACTTGTAAAAATGAAACATATACGGCCTCGGTAGTATCATTGCAGTAATAGGTAATTATCACTCTAGAGAATTTTGGATTCCGTGCCTGGGATGTTCATCTGTGTCTCAGCAATTTCAGTGAATAACCAGAGTCAGCTGACCTCTTGGGTCTTTTGAAATATGCTAGGTCCCTATAATAAGACAGGGTCTGGATTTTTTCATCTTTTGTGAATTTCCACCAAGGATTTAGGAAAATAGGCTTATTTATGGGCTTTTCAGGATTTCTGTTTCAAATCCCAGTCAGGAAGTCTAGGAAACACTTGCTTTTATTTTCTTACCTGGATATATCAGAACCTTAAATAACACAATCAATCTAGAAGTAGTAAGTACAGTTATTAAAATAAGTCACCAGAGGTCACCCATTCGTGGCAGGTCGGCTAGGTGGTTGATCACTGGAATATAGTCACATCCCCAGGCAGATACACAAGCCTCAGTTGATGATCACAAAGTTTATACATCTCAGCTTGAGACATTACAAGTTGAGGTCTCTGCTTTGTTCTTCATAGTTGGCAGTTTGTCTCCCTGGTACCCCTCCAGTTAGCTGTTTGTCACACGCCTAGCCCTTTCAACAGCGCAGGCAGCTTCCAGAGTATAGTTTTCTCTGCAGAGTGCCTGTTGGAGGGGTACTCCCTTTCCATTGTCCTAATGGCTTGAAGAAACCATCGATAGCTTTCTTGTTAGCACTGGCCTATCAAACCTTTCTATTGTCTGTTATTAAAATTTTGCCTGGAATGCTTTAAACTTAGAGTACCGGGTCTTTGTCACCTGATTGATAGGAGAGTATCATGCAGTCAGCTGTATTCTGACTTTTGTGCTGTTGAAATCCTGAGGTAGGTCTGGGGCCAGGCACAGACCACTGTGTGTTCAAAGGGTTATGGTGCTTGCATTCTGTGTGTATGTGTTTGTAATTTCCAACCAGAGTCGTTTCCCGTGCCTGCCCTGCCTCTGTGCAGTCTCATCTAGCGGGGCAGGGAGGCATGCTGTGGAGTTTGAAAAAAAAACAAAAAACAAAAAACTGGCTAGATGAATTTAATAGGATGTTGCCCCTCCAGAACATTCCTCCCATGTGGAGATGGAACCTGAAGTTCATTTCTTTAACGTAAAATAAAGAACAACAGAGATAAAATTGTTAGTTCCTTACTGGAGCCTGGTTTCCACTGCGAATGTACCTGCTTGCGACTCTGCATGATAAATGATGTGTCCTGGAACCTGAAATCTTTTATTAAGGCTAATATCAGCAGAAATCTTTTAATTAGCTAAGAGCAGTTTGTTCTCAGGCTGCCCAAGTTATCTCGGAGGAGGAGAGAATCTCATAAAATGTTTGGTATTTCCAGTAACCAGTGTTTTCAGTGTCGGGGGTAAAGCACAGTCCTAGACTGGCCAGTTCCAAAGAGTGTGGCAGGACACGTGCTTGTTTTCCCCGCCCTCTGCTATGGTGGCATCCATGCAGACCAGTCTTTTGTGGCTGGCAGATGCGATCCTTTCTTCTTGGGTAGAGCATGATCACAACTGTGATGGAAGGACCTTGTCCTCAGTGCTTCCATACCAGCCCTGTCCAGTGAAACTCCCGCTGTCCCAGCAAGCCCCTGTGTGTGTACATCATTCCGGGTAGGATAAGATGTGAACAGGTCCCTTTTCTTTCGACTTGCTTAAGTAGAAGTTGTGCTCTTCTGTTTTTACCTGTTCTCTTCTGCCTTTCTCTTGCAAGAAACCTTTTCCTGTCAAAAGCTTGGTTTGCGTACTATTGCTTAAATGCTTTGGTTCCACCACTTTGATGCTGTGTATGGTGTGTGGGATAACTGAGTGGGAGCCAGAATTGGGGAGTAGACATGGCATCCCCACTCCCACATTAAAGGGGGAATGACCATTTCATTAGAGAATAAAGCCTGATGTAACTTCTTCAAGGCACATGTATGCTGGGTCTGCTGGCGTGTGAATGTGTCCCTACTGTGGTAGGGTCTGGCTGTTTGCAGTTACTGTAGATACTATAGTCTAGGCTCTCATTATTGCTCCTGAAGCTGACAGGACCAAGCCTTAGTAAGGACACACTTGTCTTCCCTGCTTAAGAGCTAGGGGTGTGTTTTTTTTTTTGTGTATTGTGTGAATGTACATATGCATGTGTGCCTGTGACAGGTGAGTGTATATATGTATGTATTTGTGTATATGTTTTTTTTGTGTGTGTGTATATGCATTTTCTTTATTAGATTTCACCAACTGCTCTATTTTCTGACTCTTTTTGACATGAAATCTTAATCAATGATCTTAAACTTTAAGAACTAGAAGGATCCTTACTCTAGCACCATCAGTTTACAAACAAACAAAAAAACTTGTGTCCCTGAGAAGTTGTGACTTTTCCAGGGCCTCCTAGGCAGGATACCAGTTTGGTTTTTTTTTTTTTTTTTTTTTAATATAACTAACCAAGTAATACTATTAACTTGAATTCTGGGATTTGAAAGCATTCAATGACTTAACTGTTTAAGGGAATTATGAGTCCTCACTGAGCTCAAAACATAATTTTACGTACTATCCTGGTATCTATAGAGCAGCAATAGACCAGTAAAAGACTTGGTTGGTGTTGCCCTTCTTCTGGGTTTGATTACATGAGTAATTGTGTGAATAGTCTCTTAAGTTGTACATTCTGATCTTTTGTTTTTAGCCTAAAGATAAAAGTGCCAGGCTGGGCACAGTGGCTCATACCTGTCACCCTAGCACTTTGGGAGGCCGAGGCAGGTAGATCCACGAGGTCAGGAGTTCGAGACCAGCCTGATGAAATTCCGTCTCTACTAAAAATACAAAAATTAGCTGGGGACAGTGTTTGCGGGGTCGGGTGGGGGAGATGCCTGTAATCCCAGCCACTCAGGAGGCTGAGGCAGGAGAATCGCTTAAAGCCAGGAGGTGGAGGTTGCAGTGAGCCAAGATGGCGCCACTACACTCTAGCCTTGGCGGCAGAGCAAGACTACATCTCAAAAGAAAATAAGGCCTGGTGCGGTGGCTCACGCCTGTACACCTGTAATTCCAGCACTCTGGGAGGCTGGGGCGGGCAGATCATGAGGTCAGGAGATCGAGACCATCCTGGCCAACATGGTGAAACCCTGTCTCTACAATATAAAAAAAATAGCTGGGCATGGTGGTGCATGCCTGTAGTACCAGCTACTCAGGAGGCTGAGGCAGGAGAATTGCTTGAACCC